GGTGCAGCAGGTGGTGAGTACTGGTGGTGAGCGCCAATACAAACGATAAAAATAAAACTAGCAACAGGAAAAATACTAAAGAGTACATAACAATAAACCAAGAGAGGATAAAACTAATCAAAGAAAACTAAATTGAAATAAATGAAGAACAAAATGAAAGAGTAAACTAAAAAACGAAAGTAAATACAGAGGAATAAACTGGTATGGAAAGACATTTTGAGCAAAAATGAATACAGAGGACTGTATGGCAAGAACAATCAGACACCGTTTTCTGATAAAAGGTAAAATAATATTGTTGAAGTGCCATGGGTTTGTTGAGACCATAGTACTAAGAAGAAATATATTTTACAGGCTATAACAATAAGGAATGTATCACTTATTTATGTTTTTGATTAGATTTTATATATTTATTTCTTCAATATTTTTTCATGTTGATGTTAATGTCATGAGGCTGATGACTCCACTTTCAGTCTGACTTATTAGGATTTGATTAAGAACTAGCTTTTGTTCTTATCCTATATCTTCACTGATGGGGGGGCGGTGAAGGACCTGGATAATGGATGGGGGGCACTGGCCCAAAGAAGGTTCAGAAACACTGTTATAGAGGGAAAATTGGGGCAAAAAACTGTGTAGTGTGAACTAGGCTTGACAGCATTTCAACATGGATTTAGTGAAATCTGGGAGAGGGGCCTAGTTTAATTGACCAACATAAAAAGCAATCAGTGATAATTGTAGTTTACTAAGATGTATTTATGAACAAACAGCTAAAATTCAAAGATTAAACACAGCAAATTGTTACTACGGTAACAAAACTAACTATGATGATTGTTCTTTGAACTTTTACAAAGTAAACTTGCCAGTTCCTTAAAATCTTAATTTAAAATATTTTAATTTATCTATGCTGAAAACATTCAATCAAATTTAACAGCACTACATTTCTGTATCTGGGGTCTATATTAAAATGTTAATATTCATGGGAGCCCCTGAAGGCCTTGGCGCCCCGACCACCGGGCTTAGCTAGTTTTCAGGGGGAAACCCTGCATAATGCACAAGAAAGTTCATCAAGTACCACTGACCTGAACCTTCTGTTCAGAAGAGCTGGCAAATGCTACAGGCAAACCCATCTTAGCCATCAGCTCAGACTCTTCATCCAAGATTTCTTCCTCTTCCGCATCTTCTGATTCTGTCAATGTAAGAAAATATGCATTTTAATTATTAATTTAATACATTTTACTTATAGCCACCTTTGTTGACACTGAAGGAAACAGCAAAAACTACATTAAATCAATTAATAGATACAACAGTAAAATAATGAAATCAACTCAATAGAAACAGCAGAAGTCATCAGTCAGTCAGTAAAAGCAGTTTATTTTCAGTTGTGATTTGAACTGAAGAAGTGAATCAATATTTCTAAGTTGGGATGGTAATGTATTCCAGAGACAAGGAGTAGTGTGGCTGAATGCTCTGTGACCCATAGCAGTGAGAATTTTGCAACAATTTTCCAACAATTATGTGTGCTCTTTGTTTTAATATTATCAGAGTCAAAGATAAAGTTGCAAATTTGACAAATGCAATCCAAACCACGGAAGATTAAGAATGAGGTTGGTGTTCTCAAAGAATCCTAAGACTGAGTAACTTCTAGTGCGGGGGATCGACAACCTGCGGCTCTAGACCCGCATGCGGCTCTTTAGCCCTGCCCTAGTGGCTCTCTGGAGCTTTTTCAAAAATGTTTGAAAATGGAAAAAGATGGGGTGGGAAATATATTTTTTGTTTTCATATGGTTTCTGTAGGAGGACATATATGACAGTCATTCTTAACGTTTTCCAATGCTATAATAAATAAAAAATTGCAACATTTCTGTCAACGAATATTTGCATCATAACCTCTGACACCCGTTTCTTTCAGGTGGGTGGAGTGCAAGGCAGGTGGCTGTTGTAAACAAACCGATGGGTGTTTACCCATGGATAGTAAAGGGAAAAAGAGGAAAATAGCCCAGGAGAAAGTCTACTATCTGCGCCTGAAGGGCACGTTGCCTGGGTGCAGGGACAGGCGGCAGCTGAAAGGCGCATTGCCTCGGCGCGGGGACAGGCGGCGGCTGAAGGGCGGCTCAGGGTGGCAGTGATGGCCGTAGGAAATGGGGTCACCAACCCCGAACCCCACAACAGCCTTGTGTTGAAGCAAAGTCCAACTAAGAACTCCTCCAAGGGGACTGCTCCGAACCACCGCCAAGGGTTCCACCGTCTGAAAAGATCATACCTTTTGCGTTTATCCTCTATTTTCTGGTTGGGTCCTTCTGTCATGATTTGCGGTTGATGGTTAGGATAAACACAGGGCAGACCCAAGGTTGAAGATGAATAAATGATGTTTTAATGATAAACCCAAAAGCAAACTCAGGAACACAAGGAACCGACATGACGACGGAACACACGACGAGGACCCAACAAGAGACAAAGACAACAGGTGGACTTAAATACACAGGGAGGGTAATCAGGGAATGAGACACACCTGGGAAGCAAACAGGGAAGGCAGGACAGGGACAGGACTAAACACAGAATAACTACACAGAAAACACAGAACACAACACCTGACATCGACACATATGTTTAGTAACTGCAGGTTGCATTTTATTGCACTCCGTTTGTTGCCCAGATAAGGGGCACGTTATGCACATTCAATTTTGTTGTGTTTTTCATGTATGTTGTTTTTTGGATCGCACACTTTACAGTGATTATTTACAAAGAGCGATCGTTATACAAACTGCATTTGGGAACAGATTTTTCGAGTTC